GAGGAGGAGGAGGAGGAGGAGGAGGAGGAGGAGATTGGATTTATACCCTGCCCTTCAGTACCCAAAGGAGTCTCGGAGAGGCTTACAATCTCCTTTCCCTTCCCCTCCCCACAACAGACATCCTGTGAGGTAGGTGGGGCTGAGAGAGCTCTCTCAAGGACTGCCCTTGAGAGAACAGCAATGAGAAAACTTGGCACTGACCCAAGGTCAAGCCAGCAGCTGTATGTGGAGAAGAATTGGCTCTCAGGAGGAGGAGGAGGAGGCGGAAGCCTTTATGCCACACTTTTTTCTACCTTAAGGAGTTTCAAAGTGGCTTACAGTTGCCTTCCCTTCCCACAACAGGCACCTTGTGAGTTGGCGGGGCTGAGAGAGTTCTGAGGGAACTGTGACTGACCCAAGGTCAACCAGCAGGCTTCATGTAGAGCAGCGGTGGGGAATCAAACCCGGTTCTCCAGTTTAGAGTCTGCCACTCCAGCATCCAAACTATATGAAGCTTCCTTACACGAAATCAGACTACTGGAGTATCTACTTCAGTATTTTGTACTCTAAGGCTGAGTTCAGATCGGCAGTTTGAAGCGGGAGTCGTGGCAAAAAAAGAGCTGGAACCAACTGTTCCGGGTTTTCCCGGTCACACTGTGCGGACTGATGCAGGAGCATACCGGGAGGAGGAGTGAGGGGGCGCTCACACTGTTGCCCAGGGCTCTTTTTGTAGAAAAAGCCCAGCAGGAACTCATTAGCATAACAGGCCACACCCAACAGCAGGAACTCATTAGCATATTGGGCCACACCCCTGACAGCACCCACGTTACCAGAAGTGTGGTCATCCAGCCACACCCACCTTTTGCTTGTTATTCTGCTTACATTGTTTGTTGTCAAAACCCAGGGCCTTTTTTTGTAGCAGGAACTCCTTTGCATGTCAGGCCACACACCCCTAATGTAGCCAATCATAATGAGTTTCTGCTGTTGGGTGTGGCCTATTATGCTAATGAGTTCCGGCTGGGCGTGGCCAACTTGGGAGCCAGCTGGAACTCCGTTCCTGTGCCTTCCTGCCCCCAAATAGTCCTGCTGTTGGCCCTGAGGCGCAGTTATAAGTGGCAATTTCCTCACGGCAGACGCCTATGCATGGACGCCTATGCGCATAGGCGCCTAGGCACGGCGGCAAATATGCCGGATCCAGCCACTGTGGGCCATAGGCACATCCGGCCACATCACTACCCCCTCTTCAAGGCAATCACCCGCACCTTCCTGGGGCCAGAGTGAGGCTAGGAGGTCAGCCAGCATAAACAGTCGGCGCACATTATTTATGCGGGTCGTTCTCAGCTTTTAGCGGTTAGCGTTCACCCTCCCGGGGAGCGGAATGAAGCGGGATAAACGGGCTCTCCGGGGTTTGCTACCACTTTCACCAGGTATCTTTTAAACCCGGGAGGCAAGCGCTACAAGACGGGTTGAGTACGGGTGGGGAACGCCGGACAGATGTGTCTGTGTGAACGGCCCCTTTAATCCACTTGTGAAACATTCCTCACACGCGCCTATATCGGGGCAAACGGCCAGTCTGACCTCGGCCTAAGAGTGGCTCTCCAGAAGAAACAGTTCTTTCCCCCCAAACTTGCTATCTGAGATCCTTTAATGGTACATCTGAGATCCTTTAATGGTACCAGGGAGCCAATGTTCCCTCTAAGCTGTGGAATCCTGTGAGCAAAAATTCTACTTTGTGAGCTACTGGCATTAAAGTTGTGAGCAGGTGATTGGGCTACTGCATCAATTAGTTTGCTCCGGAGCCCTCCTTCCTGAGTTAAGGCAAAAATGTGTGAGCCGGAGGCTAAAAAACTGTGAGCTAGCTCACACTAACTCAGCTTAGAGGGAACACTGCCAGGGACTGAACCTCGGGGCCTTCTGCACGCAAAACAGGCTCTCTACTGAGCCGCGGCCCCTCTCACCTTCCAGTAGAGGAACTTCCACGGCAGGAAGTGGAGAAGAGCGCTAAATCCTTTCCTGAAATGGCAAATCACTTAAAAGTTGTCTCCGAAAGGTCATTCATCTGCAAAGCGTTTGTGGAATTAAAGAAAAGCAAACTCGAGCTTGAGCTCTGGCGATTTTCATTTCAAAGAACATTTCCATGACATTTCCTTATTCGGCCACTCACTTGTTTAAAGCTCCCCCGTGTACTCAGTAATTTATAGAGAATATATGCAGGCACCAGGAGCATCGAAGACAACGCGATCCCCCATCCGACGTTTTCGGCCCATAATGGGAAGACGTAGTCGTCGTAGGTCAGGGACTTGAAATTTACAACACTGACTATTACCACAAACTAAAAGGAAAAGAGGGAGACGGTAAACCCCTTTATTTGCCCCCCCCCCCCCGCCCCCAATTTCAACCACAAGCTTTTTCCAAGTCAGAAGAAAAAAAACCCCCAGAAAACGGCTCTTCACATTGTTTGGATGTTGCAATCATGAAAGATTTAAGGACATTCGTGGGCTCCTTATTTTAGGCATACTTCTGCCGAATGCTCCCTGTAAACTGTGGAGTCTTGTGAGCAAAAAATTCTACTTTGTGAGCTCCTGGCATTACAGTTCTGAGCGAGCAATTTGGCTGCTGCATAAATTAGTTTGGAGCCCTCCTTCCCAAGCGAAGACAGAAATTTTGTGAGCTGGAGGCTAAAAAACTGTGAGCTAGCTCACACTGACTCAGCTTAGAGGGAACACTGATTCTGACCTCCAGAACGAAACCTGTAGAACTCCAAGGGTCGAGCATGCTTAGAAACGGATCATTTCAAGATAAAAGAAGCCACAGATTATTTTTAGTCATTGTTTGTAGTTTAGAGGCACGTCCTTATGAAAAGCTGGGATGGGAACAGGGGTCATTTCCTGCAGGAGCGCACAGGAGCGGAGCTCCGGCAGTAAAGAGCCCAGGGGCTGGGCACATGCAACAAGCCCCACCCCCTGCTCCCAGCAGCCCTCAGTCAGAGCAAGAAGCAGCCAGGTAAGCTGCAGAGCCCCCCTTCCCCCGGTCCAAAACAGTCCCGTGGCATCTTTAAGACCAAGTTTTATTCAGGTACAAGCTCTCCCTCCTCTGCAAGGACAGATCTGCACGTCCCCACCCCCCCAATAGCTAGCAATCCAAAACAGTCCAGTGGAGCCTGAGCAGTGGTGTTGCCTTCTGACCCACTTCTGGTGATGTCAGGGGGTGTGGCATCTGCAAATGAGTTATGCTAATGAGCTCCTGCACCTCTTTTTCTATGAAATGACCCCTGGATGGGAAGTAGGCAGAAGATCCCTCCTGGCTAGAAGGGGGTCTTGTAGGCAAGCCCCACTGATGGACCTCTTCATGGCCTCTGGTATTTTTGGCCACTGTGTGACAGAGTGTTGGACTAGATGGGCCACTGGCCTGATCCAACATTGGGGTCTCTGATGTTCTTCTGTTCAGAGAGAGCGTACTAAGGGAAGTTGCCCCCATTTGGACGGCCCGGACTAGCCCGATCTTGTCAGACCTCAGCTGCTAAGGAGGGCCGGTCCTGATTAGTACTTGAATGGGAGACCTCCAAGGAAGTCCAGGGTGGCTATACAGAGGAAGGCAGTGGTAAAACCACCTTTGAACATCTCCGGCCTTGAAAACCCGAAGGGGTCGCCACAAGACTTCTGTGACTTAATAGCACGGAATTATTAAGTCCTGACCTGGATGGGCCAGGCTAGCCTCATGTGGTCATATCTCAGCTGCGAAGCAGGATCAAACCCTGATTAGAACCAATGTTTCCTCTAAGCTGTGGAGTCTTGTGAGCAAAAATTCTACTCTGTGAGCTACTGGCATGAAATTTGTGAGTGAGAGATTTGGCTACTGCATAAATTAGTTGGCCCTGGAGTCATCCTTCCTGAGTGAAGACAAAAATCTGTGAGCTGGAGGCTGAAAAACTGTGAGCTAGCTCACACTAACTCAGCTTAGAGGGAACATTGGTTAGAACTTGGATGGGAGACCACTGAGGAAGCCCAGGGTTGCTACGCAGACGCAGGCCATGGCCAACCACCTCTGTTTGTTTCTTGCCTCGAAAACCCTACGGGGGTCTCCACACGTTGGCTGCAACTTGATGGCATTTCCCACCAAGGGAAGTTAAGGGACTGCAGTATTTGTTCAGCGATAAACCATTACGTCTCCTTTCCTTTCCTTTCGTGTTGTGTCCTTGATACAACTCAACCCCTACCTTATCGCAGCATTCATTTGCACACCAGGACTGCCAAAGTGCCATATGAACAAAACAGCAACAAACATTTCTACTGATTGTCCCAAAGAACTGATGGGGGTCATTTGAGAAAACTGACCTACAATTGGGGTTTTCTCTGGACTACAGTGGGGTAAGGTAAAGGTAAAGGTTCCCTTGCTCGAAAGCCAGTCGAATCCGACTTTAGGGTTGCGGTGCTCATCTCCGTTTCCAAGCCGAAGAGCCAGCGCTGTCCGAAGACGTTTCCGTGGTCATGTGGCCGGCATGACTAAACAGCAAGGCGCACGGAATGCTGTGACCTTCCCACCAAAGTGGTACCTATTTATCTACTTGCAATTTCTTGCTTTCGAAGTTGGTTTACACATATCCGGGTTGCCAACTCTGGGCTGGGAAATGCCTGGAGATCTGGGGGTGGAGCCTGGGGAGTGTAGGGTTTGGGAAGGGACTTCAGAGGGCCACCATGCCAGATAGTCCACCCTCCAAAGCAGCCATTTTCTCCAGGGGAACTGATCTCTGAAGTCTGGAGAGAACTGCAGTTCAGGGAGATCCTCAGGCTCCACCTGGAGGTTGGCAACCATATGGAAACCAGTTTAGTGTCTTCCCATCATTCCAAAATCCCACCAGCTCGCCCTGCCTGCAGTCAGCTTTGAGATTATAACCACGGCATCCTTGTCATTAAAGCCCAAAGCACAAGTGTCAGTGGCGACGTTCAGAGGGGACAGCTGCCTAAC